AGGGAAATGATGGCCTGGCTCCACCTGCAGCACAAGGGAGACTGGGTGAGGGTTGTGGGGGCTGCGCAGACCGCCTCCCCCATCAAAGGTGGATCGCCTCTGGCACCCCAAAGCAGGTTTCCTGGAGCGGCTCTTCGTTCCACCAGTCAAGAATGATCCAGCCGACCACGGTCTGGGTGCAAAGCAAGCGATACGGCATTTTTCCTCGAAAGAGCAGATTCCTCCGCTGAATCCCTGAGTCCCCCGCAGGGAGGGGACAGCTAAATTTAAAGATGAGCTAATTGGGACGGTCTGTTCTGGCCTCATGCTCCAGCTGAGGATCCGCAGGGGCCACAACACCAGCTCAGCCGTCCCCACATCTGGCTGCAGCTGCCCTACTGCGCCTGCCCTCCAAATACAGAAAGCATAAACATGGACACATTCTTCTTGGGGTCTATCATGTGCCCCACACTGCGGTACACCAGCGGGTGAGCCCGGGAGCCGGACAGGCCGGGCCCAAAGCCCCGTCTACCATTTCCTGTGACCTAAGGTCAAGCTCCTCACTCTCCAAGAGTCAGCTTTCCCATCGTACGAGAGTGCTCGCCTCACAGGTGACAGGCACTGCTCATCCTCTCCCCAATATTCATCGGCTTAAAAAATATGTTCTGAGCACCTACTATGTTCTGAGCACCTACTATGTGTTCACTACTGAAGTCACAGCAGTGAACCGTCCAAAGTCCTTGCACTGGGACTTTGCCCTGGGGAGCTGATGTTCTAGAAAGGATGCAGTCAGTAAACAAGATGAACAAGTAAGATACATGGTCTATCAGACCATGGCAGCCCTACGGAGCCACCGGAGACATGGGAAGGGTCGGCGGGGTGAAGTACTCTGTAGAGCTGCTGGCCCCATTTCCAGTATTAGCCATTCATTTGGTTGCAAGTGGCGAGATGCCCTCCTGAGCAACCAAAAAGCAAACGCTTGCTTCCTCCCCGAGGCACAGAATGCACTCCAGGTGTGGCCGAGTCCAGGGACTTAAATTCTTCCTGTGAGATGCCGTCTCGCTCTGCCTCTAGGATCTGCTTCCTCCAGGCTGGCTCCTCCTCAGGCAGGCTGATGGGCTCAGTCACCAGGCCAGGCCCATGCCCATCACACTGCGAGAGGAGGCAGCTAGGACCTCCAGGGAGGGGTCCTTTCAGGCATAGAAGTGAGGTCTTACTCTGAGAAAGGCAGGGGGCGGGGGGCGGGGAGGTCTGAAAAGGCTTCATCAAAATGGTGCCAGTTGAGATGAGCATGGAAGGATGAGATGGAGATGCCAGCTGGGTGGGGGAAGTGCATTCCAGGCAGAGGACAGCAGTGCAAAAGTATGCAAATTCCTGTAGTTTCCAGACTGTTGGGTGTTTGGTGGGAGCAGAAACAGACAAGTCCAGAGAGGTAGCCGGAGGCCAAACATGAAGAGCCCTGAATGCCAGACTGTTTTAGGCTCAGTTCCGCGGGCAGCAGAAGCTACGGAAGAATTTAAAGCAGGGAAGGGCCACAGTCCCATTTTCCTCCCTCGGTGATAGAATGGAAGGTGAATGGTGGCAAGGAGGAAAACTAGAGGCAGCCGGAAGACCAGGGAGGAGCTGCTGTATCACCAGCCAGCACCAGACGGGTGGCCTGGGGAATCAAGTTGACAGGACTAAAATGTGGAGGGTGAAGAGCCTGGGACTGGGAAATTCCGGTGTCTGATCCGAGGATGTGGCTACCAGCGGGCTTCAGGCAGGTATAAGGGAGGGAGAGTTCCCCAGCTCTCGGCAGCAGGCAGGAGACACTGGCGTTGCCATGTCCGGGGATTGGAAGACTGATTGTCTTTGGAATTCAACATGGCCAATTCTTGGATGCCTCCAGGGATGGGGAGCTCACCTCTTCAATAGTTCTGACCTAAATAAACTATGGACTCAAATTTATACCCTTAGAGTTAGGCACAGCTCAGTGCCCCTGTCCACACCTTGGGGAGCTCCCTGTACCTGGGCCAGCCCTAGGAGATTCGGGCACCTGACACTGTCTCCTTAAGTCTATCCTTCCCGTCTCAACGCTTTTGCTTTCTCTGACCATGGGACAAGGACCCCTGAGGGTCCTGGGGAGGATGTAGGTATTACTCAGACACTAAGTATCCACTCACAGAGGGAGAAAGGCAGCCGGGTCAGATACTCTTCCTGTCTCTGGGACTGTGTCAAGGAGAAAGTCTCCAGGGTGCCAGGGCATCTTAACATCCTGGATGCTGTCCTTGCCGAGCAAAGGGAAGGCAGGCCTCCCCCTTGGGGCCTGGGGCTGCAGCAGCAGTCTCTGGTGATAATCTAATGATGCTGTCGGTTTCTGCTTTGGCTATTTTGATGTTGCATTTCTATTTCTGGCAAGTGATGATGGTTGGCCTTATATGGTGGGTCTTCATCACCTGGCAGAATGCCAGGTGCAGGATCCCAGCCCTGTGCTGGTGGCTGGGAGGCAGGGGGTGCGGGCGGACCCGGGGACTACCCCACCGGGATCTGTGGAGCCAGGAGCCCTGCTTAGCAGGACTGTTCTCAGAGGCTCCTCTGTGCAAACACTACCACCGCGAATAAATTACACCACCAGGCAGGAGCGGCCCTCCCCAACCCTCTCCTCCTGCCCACTTCCCTCGCTGAGGATAACCGTGTTGCCAGTGGAGGGTTCCTTCTAGAACTTTCCTCTCTGTATGACATAAACGGGATCCTGCCGTTGCACTGTCACATCCTGGTGCTGGTGGTTTTCAACAATGGTAGATTTTAGCACCTTAATAGTTTCCTAGTTTTTGTGCATAATATTCCATAACATGGATGTTCTGTGACTCTCTGTAGCGGTCCACTAGTCCCAGAAACCCCATGATGCCTTGGAGGCATAGCCACTAAGCCAGTGGTTCTCAACCTTGGCTGCACATTAGAATCACCTGGGAATGGAGTTTAAAAGGATTCCCAGGTGATTCTAATGTGCAGCCAAGGTTGAGAACCACTGCACTAAGCCTTTGGGAGGAACAAGGTTAAATAGGGGACCAGGTTATCTGGGAATCTTGGTTATCGCTCTCCCAGGATTAGCTACTTCCAGGTGGACTCCTGCAGTAGAAGGAGCGGTAAGGGGGCCAGGCGCGGTGCACGGTCATCCAGGGCTCGCCCAGCTGTCCTGTGAGAGGGCGGTCAGTGCCTCCTGGCCCCACAGAGGAAGAAGTGGAGGCCGGGACAGGGGCAGCCCTGCCTCCCGCACAGCGGGTTGGCCCCTCAGGCCCCACCGTGATTCTCCAAAGGGAGGGCTGCTCCACCTGCGGCCTCTGAGCCCGCAGGATACCTTTCCCTCTGGCTCCAATGTTCCCTCAATGATGATGACGACCATCGCGATATAGCGGTGGACATATTTGGAGCGCTGTCTCTGCACCAGGCACCAGCAGCCCTTTACAACGGCAGGTAATTCATTCAAGGGGCCTCCGCAGGCGGAAGAGGTGACGGAGGGCGTTGGAGTCGCGGAGTTGCTTACCTCCCGGACACGCAGCTCACTCACGCACCCCCTTCCCGGCGCGCTGCGGCACCTGCTCCGAGCTCCGAGGCCTGTGGCTCCCGGGATGGGGGCGGGGTGGGAGGGGAG